GAAGGCCATGCCCAGCAGAGTGTTCCCACTGCAACAAAACGGAATCCAAGGAAGCAGCAGTGCTAAGAACGACGGTGATCAACGACGACTGGACGCCTACCAAGATCAGGGAAGAACAAGAGAGAGATCCAGTTATACAGAAAATCCGAAAATGGAAAGAGGAAAACCGTCGACCACCTTGGCAAGAAATATCGAACCTAGGCTCAGTAGTTAAGACGTATTGGGCCCAGTGGGACTCATTTATCATGGAAGATGGCTTGCTCAAACAAGTCCTGGAAAATGATGACGGTTCAGAGAAGAGAAGACAGTTGGTGATTCCAAAGAGCAGAATAGCCGAAGTACTTCGTCAGTTACATGACAGTCCATCAGGAGGGCATTTTGGTGTGAAGAAGACCCTTCAGCGAATTCGGGAACGGTTTTATTGGATGAACAGTTCCGACGATGTAAAAGACTGGTGTAAGAAATGTACTATTTGTGCTACGAGTAACGGGCCTTATCGAAAAAGGAGAGCTCCTATGAGACAATATAATGTTGGAAGCCCGTTTGAAAGAATAGCTCTGGATATTGCTGGGCCATTTCCAGAAAGTGATAATGGAGGCAAGTACATGTTGGTAGTAATGGATTACTTCACTAAGTGGGTCGAGATTTACGCACTTCCAGACCAGAAGGCGGCCACCGTTGCAGATAAGTTGATCCAAGAATATATCAGCCGATTTGGAGTGCCTTTGGAGATCCATAGTGACCAAGGCAGGAACTTCGAAAGCGATTTATTCCAAGGAATATGTGATAGACTAGGTATGAAGAAAACAAGAACTACGGCTTATCATCCGCAATCGGATGGTATGGTAGAACGAATGAATAGAACAGTTGGCAAGTATTTGACAAAGATGGTGTCCGATCATCAGCGAGACTGGGACCAATATCTTCCGTTCTTCACAATGGCCTACAGATCTGCTGTTAATGAATCAACAGGCCAGACACCAGCCAGAGTCCTATTCGGACGCGAGATGCGACTACCTTGTGATCTAGAGTTTGGGTGTCGACCTGGAGAAGATGTAGCAGGTGAAGATTATGTGATCGAATTACGAAGAAGAATGGACGATGTACACGAATTGGTCCGTTCCCATCTCCAGATCGCTAGTGACCGAATGAAGAAACGGTACGATACGCAAGCCGAAAAGGGGTGTTTTAAGAAGAACGATAAAGTCTGGCTTTATAACCCCAAAAAGCGAAAAGGTTGTTCTCCCAAATTTCAGCAGTTTTGGGAAGGTCCATACCTCATTATGGAGAAGATCAATGATGTTATTTACCGAATAAGCAAGATTCCGAGAGGAAAGCCGATGATAGTACATAATAACCGGTTGGCGTCTTTCGAGGGTGACCACGACGTAGATGAAGAAGTGGAAGTAAACCAAGTCCAAGGTGTGTCTGACCTCTTCTTCTTCTTCTTCTTTTGCCCTTTAATTCGTCCAATTTTGAACATAGGCTTCCCCCAGTTTCCTCCATTCGCTTCTGTTTTGTGCTTTCTGTTTCCAGTGTATCCCTCCTATCTTTCTAATGTCATCTCCCCATCTCATCTGGGGTCGTCCTCTTGCTCTCTTTCCTGTCCATGGTCTCCAATGTTGTATCGTGTTGTTCCACCTATTGTCTGTTTGTCTGGCGTTATGACCTGCGAAACTCCATTTTAGCCTGGCTATATGTTGACCTGCGTCTTTGACTTTTGTTTTGTTTCTTATCCAGATGTTTTGCTTCTTGTCTTTTATATTTTACTCCCAACATTGCTCTCTCCATGGCTCTTTGTGTCTTCACTATCTTATCCATGTTTGCTTTGGTCAGAGTCCATGTTTGGCATGCGTATGTGAGAATTGGGAGTATGCACTGGTCAAACACTCTTGTTTTTAAGTACTGTTGTATTTTCTTATTCTTTAGGACCCATTTTAACGTTTGAGGAATTCATGGGTGCCTATGGAGGTACCGGTAAAGCAAGACATGGTGTTACCACTGAAGAAAGGCAAGATCTACTCGCGCTTCCCGATGACTACTCACTGGCCCTTACCATCCCGGCCAGTATCAAAGACGCACCAGGGTTGGCATCCGTCTTTCGAAGGAAGTTTGGTCGAGTTGCAGAACTTCAATGCCAAGTGCCAGCTCCCGGTAAAACCTTGAAACTCCAAGATGCATCACGTTACCTTTTCTACCTGGTAACAAAAGACACTGCCCGTGACCAACCTACCTACCGAGATGTATGGGAAGCCTTACTTCAGTTGAGAGAGCACGTACTAGAGTCCGACGTGCAAAAGTTAGCCATGCCAAAGTTAGAGTGCCACCAATTAGATTGGAGGGTTATTCGAAGTATGGTGGAGGAGATTTTTAGAGACACCGAAGTCCAGGTGTTAGTCTGTTGCAATCCGCATAGTTACTGGTGCGGAGAGAAAACCGTCCCTTGTTATTTTTATAAAACTGGAAGTTGTAAAAGAGGGTCCAGTTGCCGATACCAGCATACCGTTTCAGTTCCAGTCCCGACAAGGTTCCAGGAGGAACCATCTTTTAAGAGGGGGGCAATGTTACGATAATTATGGCGTTTATAACTATCAATATATTATGACTAATTCTGTTTTCTGTTCCAGTAAATTCGAAGTTGTTTACAGAAACTTTTAGACCCTAATTTTATGAGTAATCCACGTCTCGAGGCTTTTCGAACAGTTGAAAAACGAGTCGAGCGCCTTCACCAAAATACGAGATTATTCAAGAAGTCCGCCGAATAATCTAGATGATAACAGTTGTGTATATAAACCAAAGATTTTTTATTTGGAGTCAGTCATAAGAAGATCGGGAAACGCGGTTTACTTGTAACGAAACGTGACATAAATACATTTGTACAGCTATTTAATAAATTAGTAATTAGTTATCGTGAGTTTTAATAAATTAGAATATAGACAATAAATTAGAATAAAGACAAATAAATTAGAACTATATAAATACATAACAATACATTTACAAAAGACGGTTTCCGAATTATACATTCCGGAAATCAAACCCTTGTAAATTCTATTGTGAGTGGAGGCAGCGACGAGACAAGCAAGGAGCGTCTCTTCCGCTGGTTTGCTTTCCTGCTGGTTTGCTGGTTTGCTGTCAACTCCTGACACCTCGACCTGGAGATACTCTCAGAAAGGAAATCTGAGTGACGAACTGTTTCCGCACGTCTTTCCAGCCGTTTGGTAATATATTCTTTGTTTCTTTGTTTGGTAATATTAGAGAACTGTCTTTAATACTTTTAGAGCTCAACAATAACGCATCGTTCACCCATCCATGTTGTCCTCCGCAATATAATAAGCAAATTCGCTTGCCTCTAGTATGGTGTACATCTATTTGGCATTTTCTTGTACCGTTTGTCCAGGCTTTATCTATCGTTTCGTGAGAATCAAACCAAGTCTCGTCCAAATAATAAATTTTTCGACACTCACTCATATTGTGAAATTTTTTCGATATATTCATTCCTCCGTTTTATTAGGCGGCTATTTTCCATTATGGTTTGTCTCTCATTAGCAGTTTTAAATTTAAAACCATGTTTGGCCAAAAATCTTCTCCAAGGCTTTGTGGAACAATCATCAACACTATGTTTTTCTTTTAATTTTGCCATGATCTTGTTTAGGTTGGGCATAACTTTAGCTGCATACCTATTATATATTGTCTCACTAATAGGTTCCAAGAGGTGAGGTTGAATTTTTTTAGAGCTTCCCAAGTTCTTTCTTGTTGTTCTACTTTTCGAACCTGTCTTTATTAAACGGTACACTGTTGCACAAGAAATTTTTGTTAAAACCGCCGTTTGCTTAACAGCTTCATATTTGGTCATTTGTTTAGAAAGTCCATTAAATACATCTAACACCATCTTTTGGTCAGCTACACACAAAATCGTCCTTTGCTGAGTACTTGGCCCCGCACTTTCATCTTCATTTTCTAAATTATCTGTAGGTTCATTTTCGTTAGGTAAACGCACAACACTTTTTTATGGAAAAACTCTAGCTGAAAAAACCACAAAACATACTGCTTAAGAATGACTAATTCCGTTATTTAAATATTTTGACAATGATCCCGCCCCATTTAATTATTATACGAAAATGTACTTATTAGCCATTACCGGAAATCTAAAATTGTTTGTAAATTTGTTTTTAGGTCAACCGCAGGAATTTCTCTTAATTATTTTTAAATGTTATAAACAAAGACATCATATTTTTGATAACATTTCACAAAAATATTTAATAACGATGATTTAAAATAAGTTTTACTTCTTTTTATGTATATCAATAATTAGTGTTCATTAACGAACCCACAAAACAAAATGTCTACTTATTTTCGTAACTGAAAAATATTTTATTTTGCCAGTCCTAAGTTTAGAAAAAAGATGAACACGAAGTATTTTTTTAATAGTAATTTCGAGATTGTTTACTGCTAAAAACCATTGTTCCGATCAATTTGTAAAAACATTTAAACAAACTAATAATTCAAAATTCAACACTGCTACGATAATTTCAGTTGAATTTTGAATAAAGGTTAGTACAACTCTGTAATGTCTCTCTAGGGGTCTGTGTTACAATAGGTATCAATAGCGGATTATCACCAGAGAACTACGAACGCATGTGTTCGTATGTTCTCTGTTATCACCAGGTTGGTCTTTAAAATTTTGCATAGATCTTGTCCCTCACTTTACAGTAGAGTGGGCCATTGGCTGTCGAGTGTCTAGCGATAATCCAAAACAGTAGCAATTTCGTGGAATATACTTTAACTGTAAATATATTAATCTACAAAACGCTCGTTATTTTAAAATTCAGCTAGATTATTTTATTTTTAAATGAACAACGCATCTATTTTATGATTTTTTTGTCTTTCCCAATAGGAATAATAATAAACCGTTCCAAAGGCAAATATTTTGGGTATTCCTATTTGGATATAAGATTAAATACATCAAACTTTGAAATACTTAAAACATTGTGTTTTCATACCAATTTTCCCTGGAGCACACGTTATTGTTCAAAACAATGAGTCGTAGACCGGGTCTGGCGGTCTTAACTGTGTAATATCCACCTGCAAGGATAGTTTTCTTTACAGCTTCTTTTTCTAACCAGTCATGTTGGGTCCAGGTATCTAAAATCAAATCGTATAACCATTCTGAGGATATGTCATCATCTGCTGTATCTAATGGAGCATACCTAAAATAATAAAACATATACAGGCATGTTATATTCTGACTAAAATGATTTATTCTATTTATTCACAGATCACATGTTCCTTAACCTCACTTTTGCAAAGCACATCTAGGAACATGATACTAAGACTTCCAAGATAAACCCACTTCGCAATTGAATTTTGTACATCGACGCGCATGACGTCAATTGGTGATAAAAGTCACTTTTATCACCAACCTTTTATCATCACAGTCGGTAAAACATATATGGAAAGAAGAGGGTTTTTATTTAAATATTTAGAATATGAAGGGATGTTAGGTAAAATATCTGCAATTAAATCTTAAGAATATGTTATATATATATATATATATATATATATATATATATATATATATATATATATATCTGTTAGCCTAGCAATGTAAACTAAAATTATATAAAAAAGTAAGAACTAAACATCCTTTTGCAAATGGAAAGTTATATACAATGGATTGATTTATTAAAATAAAAATTTAATACAACTGATAAAATAAAATACACTGTAATAATTTACAAGTTTATTTAACAATTTATTTTACAATTTTTAATATTTTCTTCTTCTTAACTTTGGATGTTTCTTTAATATATCTATTCAATTTTCTAATTTTAAAATATAATTTACACCTTTACTAACATTACATCTGAACACAGCTAAACCCATTAGCGATTTTAAATAATTCTTGGTTAATTTTAATGACCCTTTGTTAAAATTGTTAAAAATATGGTCCAGTTCATTACATTTAATTAGAAAATCTGGATATGGTTTAAGTAAACCTCCTTCGGAAAGATGGTTTACCCAGTAAACCGATGTCAACGTACAAGATAAACGATAAAACAAAACTAAATCTCAAGGTTAGTAGATATTTAAGTATATACTTAAATATCTACTAAACCTTGACTAAATCTGACAAAACTCCATACAACACAGAACATTTCTTGTGACATTTGTCGCCAAGTGACGTCACACGACTGATCGCGTGCGCGTGGGTTTATCTGTAGTTTATAGTATCATGATCTAGGAATAAGAGATCTTAATTATTATAAACTAATTAGCTGCAAATTAAAAAAAAAACTTTACTTTTTACCTAATCGTTCTAGAATAGCTTTAAATGAATAAATAGCTTAAAAGTTATTCCCCTAGTTTATATGTAAAAAAACAGTAACTTTGCAAAACGATTTTTTGTCATAAAAAAACACTCTTTTTAAACTTTTTTTATGTATATTAAAAGTAAAAGTCTTCAGCTTTCATGCGGTATTAGTAGAATTATCATATCATCATTATTTTATGTTTTATTATATTACAAAAAAATTACCTCCGTGATACAAAATTTAAATAACTTTCAGACTGAATGGAACTGAAATTTTAAGGGTTGGTTAAGCAATCCCCCAATCACAAAAGTGTAAGTGAGTTTTTAGAAAAGTTAAAAACAATTAACGATTTTGCTTTATTTTTCTGTTTTTCGAGCAACAAATTAATTTAAAAATTGTATAATAAGCAATTTTAAAGGTTTTTCTATCTCTTAGCCCGCAGAATTTTTTGTTCCGTTCTGTATAAGGTTTTAATTCACGTATTTCAAATATTCTAAACATTTTTTTCGAGTTTATTATATATAAGCATTTGAATTGCATCTACAAATTTTCGAACGACAAAAAACAAAGTCTAATTTTTTATTTACACCGACCAATTTGCCTTGGGTAAACCCAAGGCAAAGTTGAGTTCTTGTTTTTAATTTGTTTCGTCTGTAAATAACTTCAGTTCCTATTTAACGCTTTTAGAATTGCGCCTAAAAATTTTCCATTAGAATAAACAAAATCCAATCATTTAATTGAATTGAAAAATGTAGCCAACAGAATCATAAGTGTTTGTTTACATTGCCAAATGCCTCTAACAATATATAGTTATTTATTGTCTTTCTCTGAATTCTTTTCTTCACTGATTCGCCCATAGTAGTTTAAAAATAATTGCATCTCCAAATTTTTGAACAAGAATAAAAAAAGTCTAATTGTTTATTTACACAGATCAATTTGCCTGGACAGCCTGGCAACAGGAGAGAGAATGAATGAATCATTCTTTATCCTGTTGTCGACAAGAATGTAGAGCGTAGAATAATTTTAAATAGTTTTAAACTGTTTGTCCTTGTTTTATGTACAATTTATGTTCAATTTCATGTTTATTACATTATGCGTTTGCTGGATAGCCCAAATTTGACAAAATGCCCCTGATGATGCTGTAGAAAGCGAAAGTATTTGGGCAAGATTTGATTATTAAAATTGTGCTCGATATTTGCCTTTAATTTTTCAAAGAATCGTAAGTGTTTGTTTACATTGCCAAATGCCTCTAACAATATACAGTATTGTGCGAATTAATGTGAACAGAGATCGAAATTCAGTTTTCATAAGTTGGCACACCTGCTGTGTCTATTCTGTCAATTATTTTGTCAGAAAAACACATAACCTCAAAAACTTATTATTATATTGTTCAAAACACGTGCTTTGTGTTTTGTATCATTATTATATTTTGTTGTATCTCAGATTATGTGCAAGTGTGTGTTATTTTCATTGATTTAACTGTGCAATCAGGTTTCACTTTTTAATATGGATATCACTCCTAGGAAAAGAGAAAGGATCATAACACTTAGTGAGCATACACCAATGACTCAGAGGGACATCGCGAAGGAGTGTTGTGTAAGTTTGGATGCAGTAAACAAAATACTTAAACAAAAAAAGGAAACTGGATCAGTTGAAGTGCAGAGTAAAAGTTAATGTGGAAGAAAACGGAAGACTACTCCTCGAGATGAAGCCTTTCTTTTGCGCGATAGCAAACTTCATCCCAGTAAAACAAGTAATGAACTCTAGCAAGATTTAGAAAAGGCTGGAATAAAAATTCACGACTCAACGGTACGCAGACGTCTCTTAGAAGAAAGGGGGAGAGCCGTCAGACCCCAGAAGAAACAACTTCTGAAAGCGCCTATGATGAAAAAAAGACTACATTAGGCAAAAAATACGCTCTTTGGAGTGCAGAAGATTGGAGAAAAGTGTTATTTTCTGATGAGACCCACATCCTAGTGAAGAGCCAGCGATCAAAATTCGTATGAAAGGCAGCCAATGAGTCACTTACAGCTAGTCATATTAACCAAACAGTTAAACATCCCACCAAAAAAATGTTCTGGGGCTGTTTTTCATACTCAGGAATTGGCACTCTTATTAATATTGAAGGTCTGATGAACAGTGAAATGTACAAAGCCATGCTAGGGCAATGCTTAGCTATAGAGCTTGACAAAGTACTGTAATTTTTCAACAAGATTCAGCTCCGTGCCATGTATCGAAGGTTATGATGAAATACTTCAAGGATAATAATACTACCCTTCTTGATTGGCCTGGGAATTCACCTGACCTTAATCCTGTTGAAAATTTGTTGGCAATATGTAAGGCTAAACTGCAAAAATTTAACTGTACGACAAAAACAAAAATGGTGGAAGCAGTGATTAAGGTGGTTTAATTATGAAGTAATCACAAACAATTACAAAAAACTTGTGGATTCCATGCCTAGAAGACTCCAGGAAGTCAGAAAAGTAAAAGGGGGACATATTAAATACTAATTAATAAATATCAATTAATAAATAATAAATCACATTTACAAATTAATTCTGTTTGTTCACCTTAATTTACACAATACTGTAGTTATTTATTGTCTTGCTCTGAATTCGTTTATAACAGAGTTTTTAATCGAGATAGGCCAGCGATTGGAAGATTCGTTTCTACGCGCTAAAAAAATGAAACTCTCGAGATTCTGGGCAACGAGGAACACCTGTCGATGACGTTGTAAACCGGTCGTTAACGACGTTAAACTCCACCAATAAAAGTTGGAAGCCATTTGCCAGAAATGTCAGGCAGTAGTAGTAAAAATAGTATGGAGTCAATAAAAGAATACGAAGTAAATCAAGATATGTGACAACCCAGTAAGAAAAACGAAACAAAAATAAAGTTAGTGCAGAATAGTTCACTTTTAGTTTTGGGTGAAAGCAAAGTCACTTTACCTTTTTGTTTTTTATATACTGCTACAGCAGATTTCATTCAGTATATAAACTAAATACTATAATAAATAACGTCAAAATATAAGAGAAACTGTCAAGAGAGACCGTTAAACATGGTGGATTACAAGGAGATTGTACAAATATCAACGTCAAGTACACACGTACTTTCCTAAGCAGATGATCTAGTGTATTTATATATAGTCACTTTTGACCTAATTTGTATAAAAAAGAATACAGTGAAAAAACTTTTATCAGCCTTGAAAAAGCAGTCAAAGAACCTAATGATTCATTGTCATTGTCTTTGACTTTATCCATATGCGGAACGGGTCTTCCTAATTTCATTTCTTTATAAGCTTATACGAGGATAGATTGATATTAAACTAGCCTTTGATAGATGGTGCCACTTGATACCGAATTGGTTTCGGTGTTGACATTTGCCATTCATGACATGAAGTCTGTCAAAATTTTAAGTTTTAAAAACAGAAAAAGTTTTCGGAGAAATGGAAAAAGTCAAGTATCGTTCGGTGATTAAGTTCCTCCACAAAAAGGGTAAAACGAATATGCAAATCAAAGCCGACATGGACAAAGTTTATGGTGAGGTTGCACCTTTGTTAGCAACAGTAAAATTTTGCAAAACAAAGTCCATGACATGATTATGGCAGATCGTCGAATAGCTCCGAATTAGCTCCGAGAGTTAATAAAGGTCCTAAACATTTCCTACGAACGCGTACACAACATCATTCACCATCATTTGGACATGAAAAAGCTATCCGCGCTATGGATGCCGCGTTTGCTGACAATCGATCAAATGCAAAAACGTGTGACCATTTCGAAGACGATTTTGGCGATGATACGGCGCGATCAGAATGATTTTTTTTGCCAATTTATCACTGTTGATGAAACCTGGATTCATTATTACACACAGGAAAACAAAGAACAGTCGAAACAGTCGAGCAAACGTGGCGAACGACCGCCGAAGAAGGCAAAGAGTGCACATTTGGCTGGCAAAGTGATGGCGACTTTTTTCTGGGATTCAAAGGGCATTACCCACATTGACTACTTGAAAAAAGGAAAACCAATCAATGGTGAGTACTACGCAGCATTATTGGATCGATTCGATGCCGAATTGCGCCCAGGTTTGGAACGCAAAAAAGTGCTATTTCACCAAGACAATGCACCGGCTCACTGATCGGCCATTGCCATAGTAAAATTACACGAATTGGGCTATGAATTGGTTGAACATTCACCGTATTCCCCAGATCTTACCGCCAGCGATTTTTTCCTGTTTTCAAACCTAAAGAAATGGCTCGGAGGACGCCGATTCGCAACAAATGATGAAGTCGTCGCAGAAACTTCGGCAAAAGTACTATTCAGATGGGATAATGCCGGCGTGGAAAGAGAACTCTTTGAATTAATTAAAAAACGCAAGATTGGTTACCTTGAGCACATATTGAGAGGAGCAAAATATGAAATACCACAGTTAATCCTACAAGGGAAGATCGAAGGTAGGAGAGGAGCCGGCCGCAAACAATTATCCTGGTTAAGGAATATTAAAGAATGGACAGGAATACACAATACAGGTGAGCTGTGTCACGTCGCCAAGAACAGAATTCTAGTAATGAGATAGTCGCCTACGCACTTTGGTGTATGGCATGTTAAGAAGAAGATGGGATAAAAAAATTGGAACATCGTCTTACTAAGTGTATTGAGCTAAAAGAGGACTATGTTCAGAAATAAATCGATTTAATTCCAAAAAACTTATTTTGTCTATCAAATGCTAGTTTTATATCAATCCACCCTTGTATGTTAAGTCAAAACAATATCAATCCCCGCCATAGACATGTCCAGCCTAAGCTTCTTCCACTCTTCTTCTTTGGTCTTCCTCTCCTACTACTTTTAAAAACTTGTAACTCAGTAATTTTTCATATTAAATGATTATCATTTCAACCACTCAACGTTCAAGATGCCCTATATATGTTAACGTATGTTATTTTATTACATATCCATGATCTGGTGCGCACTTTATTTTAGTCGGATAGTTTTTTAATTGGTATCACCATTATATATCACAAAGTAGTATAAAGTAGTTCTATGTCAACAAAAATTATAGTTACAATATTTTCAAAGTTTTTCTAATATATAATTGTTAAATCCAGTAGAGACCTTTTTTTTGTAGTCAATATATTTACATTTATGTAAAATAATCCTTCAATTTTAGATTTATTTTTGACAAATGATGCTCAATTAATTTCTACACTTGAAGTCTTCTCTCCTGTAGGTCTTTTTGACCACTCGCTTATTAATGCCCACATTCAATTTATTTTAACACCGCTTTGCAAAAATAATTTTGTAACGTATGCCACTACTGATTTCTTTAATGTTAATTCAGTTTTATTCCAGGTAAACTGGCAATATATTTTTCTTAATCACTCTAATCCATCGTCAATGTGGGACTCTTTTCTTCATACTGCTATTACAACCATTTCTGATACAACCGAACGGCAACTATAGAGAAATACAGAAATCAACTAAAACCTTGGATTAACCTCTCAGCTACCCGCTTGATTCGAAATAAATGAAAGCTATGGCGAATATATAAACTCACTGATGATTTTCTCGGTCATCGTAATTTTTCTAACCGAGTCTAACAATTGTTGCTAAAGTTAATAACAGAATTTGAAGAATCTATCAAAGTAAGTGGTAATAGTAAAAAAGTTTATCGGTACATTTGCACATCTTTATCTTCTTAAGTCACTGTACCATTACTTAAAAAATCTGACGGGTCTTTATGTTCTTCGAATAACGAATCTTCGAAATGTTTATCGTAATTTTTTTCTCAGGTTTTTACAGATGACATTACGATACCATTCCTCAAATAATATACTCACGTTTTCCTAAAACTCTTGATAATATCCTTTTCACATCGAATGTAATTAAACATCATTTATGAAAACTATACAATAATTCATCATTTAGACTGCATTTTTTAATCTCTGTTAATAAACTTCACTCAATATACGTCAGACCTATTGTTGAGTTTGATGGGCCAATGTGGAGTCCAGATCTCAGTCGCGATGAAATCCTACTTGAAAATGTTCAGCGTAAAGCCACAAGACTGACATATAGCCGTATAAGGCCTAATTATGAAGATATAATATCCATCGCTTAACTTACGACATTCCAGTAGCGACGTCTTCGAGGTGACCTAATTATGTCCTTCGATATTTTAAAATACAATTTTGGGAACCTAAACATGATATTAACTTTAAATCAAGATGTAAGATTAAGAGGTCATTGTTACAGATTAAAGAGGGAACAGACTACTGCAAGGTCCAGGCTGAACTTCTTGTCAACAGAAGTATGACTCAATACTTTGAACAAGACACCTAGTGTCGGCAACTAGTGTTAAAATCTTTAAAAATTAACTTGATACCTCTTTATTTCATTTATAAAAATGTGTTCTTTTAGGATTGCATGATATATTTATTGTTTCACTTTTTTTTTTTTTTTTTTTTAATGGCCTTGGCATAGCCAATTGACCAGACTGTTTTGTAAATTGTATTCACAGAACAACAATCAGAGTTCGAGTTAGTACTAAATGTAAGTTAAAAATAAATTAAATAATTGAGTTGTTTTGATTTTTCTTTTTTTGTTTGTTTGTGATTTTTTTTTTTTTTATATATTTTTTTTATTTGATTTTTTTATTTCCTTGTATTACTTTTTTGATATTGTATGTAATATGTATATATATTTTTTATTTTGTTTTGGTCTTTTTTTATATTAATTTGGTTTGGCCTATTTTTTTTTTATTTATTTGTTTTTTTTTGTCTCTTTTTTTCCATTTTTTTTTTCATTTTTTCGTATTAAAAGGTTTATTACATGATTGATATGTTCGCAAATTGCTTACAAATTTTATCTTAATTCTAGGGTTAGTACAATATATTGTTTAAAGTTTATATCACTATATTTTTGTATGATGTAATTAATTGCAACTTTATAATTGGTAATTGGTTTTAGTTTTATAATACTATTTTTCTTTGTTTTTTGGGCATAATAGGAGCTCGCTCCTCTGCCCTTATTTGTTATATAATAATATTAATAATAATAATTTAACTTTTAGCCCAGTATATTACAAATTATATTATGCTGTCAATTGTGATGACTCATTAAGAGCATCAGGAAAAACATCACTAATTAGACTTGTAAAAGCAGAATCAACTACTTACAGATTAACAGGATGAGCTTCATGGTTGCCCAGTATCGGATACACGGTAATATTTCCAAGCTTTTCAGCAAATAAACTCATAGCCGTTTTAATTATATTCCCATTAAATTCAGGACTGGTTCCCCAAACACGATGACTAACTAAATCTCCAGTAAAGTAAACAAATTCTGGTTTCTAAAAAAATAATTAAATGTATTAAATATAAAAAGCTAATTAAAACATATATCTTTTTATGTTATTCCGAGAGGACACGTTCAGATTTTACAAATCTTTGCTTGACTAAGACATGGCGTATAATGCCATTAAGATTGTAGCAGAGAACTACGAACACGTAGTGTTGTTCTCTGATTGTAGTTTATTGTGTTCCCAGGCAGGGAATTCTCTTTTCACAACTACGTAATTTTTAGATACTCTTTACCCCACTTTATTTCTTTCATTTATCTGGATCCATTTGTATACTATACAAGTGAATCACATTAAATACTGATTAAGCTTCCGCAGATATGGCGAAAAACCACCGAGCGATCGCCGGTATAAGCAATCCCCCACCTTCTGGTCAACGGCTTCGGGCGGACGAGCTGGTTAGTGGAAGGGCACTCTTTTGTCCTGAGATTGAGAAATCGGTCTCAAAGGCGGATGAACCAGGAAGATGGTCAACGACATCAGGCTACAGAAGGCCACGGGAAACCACTGTAGTAAAGGCTCACAAGAGCATCCCTAGTACAATCATCATGGCTAGCAATAACCAAATGAGTAACCTTACTGATCATGAGCCGCGGAAACCAAGATCCGGCAGGGGAAGTAAATCACTAGTTAGCCACAGGGCTTCCCAGGTCGTAAGCCAGCGAAATCCCTGTGATGTAAATAATAGAACACTTTTAAAAATTGCCACAAGAGGAAATATGAGAATTGCAACATGGAACGTGCAAAGCTTACTACAATCAGGTAAAGTAGATAATACTGTGATAGAAATGGAAAGATTAAATATCGAAATTCTAGGAATAAGCGATGTACAATGGCCAGGGTCTGGAAAACAACGGACTAGAAACGGAGCTATATATTATAGTGGATATTCTGATAGAACAAACCGATATGGTGTGGCCATAATGGTAAGCAAGGAAATAGATAAATCCGTACTTGGTTTCACCCCGCTTTCGAATCGCATTATAATGCTAGAAATTAACACCAATATAGGGAAAATGAATGTTATTCAAGTATATGCACCAACAGCTGACAAGGAGGAACAAGAAATAGAAGTCTTCTACGAGCAATTAGAAACAATAATGAAAACAACAAAAAAACGTGAAGTTCTGATACTAATGGGTGACTTTAATGCCAAAGTGGGCAGAGGAAGTGTGGATAGTTGTGTTGGAATGTATGGATTGGGAGAGCGAAATGAGCGTGGTGAAAGACTAATTCAGATGTGCCAAATAGAAGAACTAGTAGTTATGAATACAATGTTTAAATTACCAAATCGCCGGCTCTACACGTGGAAAGCTCCTGGAGACAGCAAAGATAGAATCATAAGAAATCAGATAGATTACATCTTGATAAGGAACAGGTACAAGAACTCTATTACAGTAGTGAAGACTTACCCTGGAGCAGATGTAAACTCGGACCATAACCCAGTAGTAGCAAATATGAATGTAAGACTGAAAAAACCATTAATGAAAAGATCTAGACCACAAATATGCATTGATAAGTTAAGAGAACCAAATACATACCAAGAAACTCAAAACAAAATAAATCAGAGTATCCAAGAAATAAAACAACAAAATAAGAACACTACAGATATTGACACAAAGTGGAAGAATATAAAGAACGCAATCGAGACTGTGGGACGGAAAACTTTAACATTTACAAAAGCTGCCAAACAAGAATGAATGACACAAGAAATTCTCGAAAAGATGGACGAAAGAAGAACACATAAAAACAAAGATAAAATTAAATATCAAGAAATTAATAAACAAATAAAACAGAAAATAATACAAGCTAAGGAAACATGGATGTCCATTAAATGTCAAGAAATCGAGGAATGTGAGGCAAGGTATGACACTTTCAACACCCATAAGAAGGTTAAAGAAATGATTTCAGGAAATCGTAACAAACCAATCGGGATATTAAAAAATGCAGATGGTACCACTATAACTGAAACGCAAGACAAACTACGTAGATGGAAAGAATACATTGAACAACTATTTTATGATCAAAAAGTAGAACAATTATTAGAAGTTAACGGAGAAACCACGGGACCAGAAATAATGAAAGAGGAAGTTATGTATGCTATAAAACACACAAAAGGCAGAAAAGCTCCAGGACCCGATGAAATACCAATTGAACTATTGAAGATAATTAATGAAGATAATATTGATGTCTTGGTAGACCTTTTTAACTCCATATACAAGACGGGACACATACCCAAAGAGTGGCTTCTCTCAACTTTTGTGACGAATCCAAAAATCACAAATGCTAAAGATTGCAATGACTATCGAACAATTGCGTTAATGAGCCACACATTGAAAACCTTCCTTAAAATCATACATAACAGAATCCACATGAAATTAGAACAAGAAATAAGTGATTCACAGATGGGTTTCAGAAAGGGTCTAGGAACTAGAGAAGCATTATTTGGAGTCCATGTTCTGACACAACGATGCCTGGATATGAATCAGGACATATATGCTTGCTTTATAGATTTCAAGAAAGCTTTTGATAGAGTTCAACATGAGAAGCTTTTAAGTATTCTTAAGACTAAAAACATTGATAGTAGAGATCTACAAATTATATCGAATCTGTATCAAAACCAGAAAGCAAGAGTAAGAGTCGAAGGAGAACTGACAGAGGAAGTAAGTATACTTAGAGGAGTTCGACAAGGGTGTATCCTTTCACCACTCTTATTCAACGTCTACAGTGAAGTGATTTTTCAAGAGGCTTTATTGAATATCGTGGAAGGTATTTATGTCAACGGAAATAGCATTAATAATATTAGATATGCCGACGATACTGTCATATTTGCAAGTGACATGGAAGATCTACAGTACATAATACAACATGTATACAATGCATGTGAAAGTTACGGACTGCAAATGAATCTCAAGAAAACGAAATCAATGATATTCTCAAAAAAACCACAAAATGTAAATAACCTGATCATCAATAATACAACGATAGAAAGAGTAAAAACATATAAATATTTAGGAACGTGGCTAACCGAAGATGGAGATCAAGTAAAGGAGATCAGATCTAGAATAGAAATGGCAAGAAACACGTTCATAAAATTGAAGAAATTACTTTGCAACCGTAACCTTAATCTAGAGATTCGCACAAGAATGCTACGTTGTTACGTCTTCTCTACTTTGCTATATGGCATGGAAGCGTGGACAATAAAGCAGTCTGAAATCAAAAAATTAAACTCCTTTGAGATGTGGTGCTACAGGAGAATGCATAAAATATCGTGGATTGAAAAAGTAATTAATATAGAGGTGTTACAAAGAATGAAGAAAGAATGTGAATAAAAAAAGTCATAAAAACTGTTAAAATTAGAAAGATTCAATATCTGGAACATTTAATGAGGGGTGAGAAGTACGTATTACTGAGGTTGATTATGCAAGGGAAGATACAAGGGAAGAGAAACCCAGGACGACGCAAAATGTCCTGGCTAAGAAATTTGAGAGAGTGGTTCGGCTGCAGCTCATTAGAATTATTCAGAAATGCGGCCAACAAAGTTAAAATAGCGATGATGATTTCCAACCTCCGCTAGGAGAAGGAACCCGAAGAAGAAGAAGCTTCCGCACGTATTAAATGATTTTTTATAGCCACTTAATATTTTCACGAATTCGGGACCGCATTCATTGTTAACAAAAAAGTAAAACATCTTATTATGGACTTCAAACCAATAAGTCCAAGAATATGTTACCTAAGAATAAGAGGTAAGTTTTTTAACATCAGTCTCATAAATGTACATGCCCCAACCGAAGACAAAGAAGAGGATGTCAAAGATCAATTCTATGAGGAAGTAGAGACCATCTACGATAGATGTCCCAGAAACGACATCAAGATCATAATTGGAGATCTTAATGCAAAAATAGGGAAAGAAAATATATATAGTCCATACATCGGAAAATGCAGCGCTCATGACGTCACCAACGACAATGGAAATAGAATAATAGGATTTGCAGCATCCAAGGGCATGGTCGTGGGAAGTACCTACTTCCCCCATAAGAATATTCATAAAGTAACATGGACGTCGCCTGATGGTACAACCAAAAATCAAATAGATCACATCCTAATAGAAACCAGGCACTTCTCTAATCTAATGGATGTACGTACTTATCGTGGAGCTAATATAGATTCAGACCACTTCTTAGTAGGCGCAAAAATAAGAGCAAGAATCTCAAATGCAAAAAAAGAAAAGGGTAAGAAAAGTACTCGATACAATTTAAAACTCTTGAAAGAGCCCCGTGTACTAGAAAGGTATCAAAATTACCTTGAACATGAAAGCACAACAGATGAGAATTTAACAGCTAGCGAGCAATGGGATATATGTAAAAGAACAATTAAGGAAGCGGCAAACAACGTCCTAGGACCAGAAGAATCCACTCCACGCAACAGTTGGTTCGACGATGAATGTGAAGATATCACTAAAAGAAAAAATTATGCATATAAACTTATGCAACAAAGAAGAACACGGGATAAGGAGCAAATGTACAAAGATCTTAGGAAGGAGGAAAAACGCATACATCGAAGGAAAAAGCGGACCTTCGAAAACCAGATTATGCAAGAGCTTCAATCATTAAAGGGGCAAAATGAAACTAGAAAGTTCTATAATATCCTAAATAAGACAAGAAAAGAATTTAAACCACGGCTGACGATGTGTAGAGACAAAAATGGACATATAGTCAGTACCGCTGACGCAGTACAAAGCAGATGGGTTGAGCACTTCAAAGAACTACTTGGTACTGAAGTGGAAAATGATGCGTCACCCCAAAGACCAAGAAATAACACTCACGTAGAACCTCCTTCAATATTTGAAGTGAAAGACGCAATCACACGACTCAAAAATAGCAAGTCCCCAGGAGTGGATTGTATCCCCGCAGAGCTCATCAAACATGGAGGTAACAGCATTATGCACCAAATTCACAACATAATAGTCAAAGTCTGGGAATAAGAACAAA